CAAGCTTTAAAACACGTAGCCAAAATGTTGGGCAGTCGTTCTAACCATTTTTGTGCTCAATATTCATGCCGAAGTGTATTAACGACACAGTCGAATTACCATCTCAAGAGATGTGTAAGATGGTATCAGGACCTTGTAGGATGCTGATGAATCATACAATATGGCCGAGTTTTGCAAAGTGTGATAATACAAAATTGTTCCCACGACTATGTCAGAATGATGTTAGGGAATTAAAATTTAACATCTCGGGCAAATGTTTAAAGCCGCTGATACCGACTGACAATGCCCTTTCGATTTTCGATGGCGTGGAAGGTTGTGGCACACAGTGTTATGATCCATTATATACGCCTGACGAACATAATCAAATACATTCGTTTATTGTGTGGGCTGCAGGTATCTGCTGCACCTTTAATTTATTCACCATTGTAAGTAATATGAAAATTACAAATTATGTACTTATAAACGAACGTATCAATTATATAATTTGGTATATATTCCAGATAACATTCTTGATAGATTGGAGAAGTGCAAATAAATATCCAGCATTAGTGATATTTTACATAAATGGTTGTTATATGGTATCTTGTATTGGATGGCTGATTCAATTCACTCCCGGTAGCAGGGACGTGATTATATGCCGCAAAGATGGAACTTTAAGAATGAGAGAACCAAGGTACATTTCATGAATATCTTGCGATGAGCTCTTTGCTCTTGTAGACTCTTTGGTATCATAAAATATTCATTTATCTCTACAGCGGAGAGAATCTGTCTTGCGTCGTTGTCTTTGTCCTTGTATATTACTCTCTTATGGCAGCTATGGTATGGTTCGTCATATTGACATATGCTTGGCATATGAGTTTTCGAGCACTTGGCACAATACAAGATCGGATAGACAAAAAGAGCGCTTACTTTCATCTGATCGCTTGGTGCATACCACTCGTTTTGACGGTGGCGATCATGGCTCTAGGCCGAATTGATGGCAACAGCATGACGGGGATATGCTTCGTGGGTTATGCTGATCACGCGGCGAAAGCTTTTGTACTAGGTCCCGTATTACTTGCTGTTCTAATAGGAGGATATTTTCTATGCAGAGGTAGGTACATTTTTCTCTTTCTCTTCCCTCCTCCTCTCTCTCTTTCTTTCGTTTGTATGTTCGATGTACAATGATAATAATCTAAAATTTCATTTTTTAATGCTTTCTGTATTAATTTAAACTGTAAGTATTAATGTATTATTATATAACATATGGAAGAATTATGCTTATTCGTATATACATGATATTGCGCGCATTTTAGGACTGTATACCCTTATTCGCCTAAAAATAAGCAGTCAAGAGATTATATCGGAAAGAGCAAGTTCAAAGATAAAACAGACCATTGTCAGAATGGGACTTTTTTCTATAGCCGCTCTCGCAGCGGTTATTGTAACATTTTACTGCCATATTTACGAAATACAAAACTCATGGCAATGGCGACAAAGTTTCAGAAGTTACATGATGTAAGGATTTCGGGAAGGTTTAATTATCATATCACAGCTCGGATATATTATTGCGTTTGCTGCTGCTTCCCCTGCACTCATATACACTGTGTGTAGGGATGAAACTTTATTAATACGAATACAGATAGTGTAAATGATTCTGCGCTTGAAAACACGACCTGATTACTCTAATTCCGTATCTTTTTCCATAAACAACCGTTTGTAAACGTTGCGCTTTTTCTATCGTTTCAAACTTCAGAGAACTAAGCCTGTCGTGTTTCGCAGGGACGCAACAATATATTCAAAGTACATATATTATTTTACATAACATTAAATTTCACGTAAATATAACTAAATTTTAATTATACTAGACGCATATTTTTACAATGTATTATTTAAACGCATATGTTTACAATGTATTATTTATTGTATTTATTTAAAGATGCGCAATTGCAACCAAGTACACGGATGTATCTGAATGTAAAATGGACGTGAGACCTAGTACAGGTAAATTGCAATTGCATTTGCTCGCGTTATTCTCTACTGGCATACTCATGTCTTCGTGGATTTGGACTAGTTCGACTGTCGATACGTGGTGCAGATTTCTGAGGAGGTAAATTTCAATGCATGCTAGATATTTATTGTGTTGACCTACTGTTGTCGCTATCAATGCGATTCTGAATAGCATGTGTCTTCTCCTTGTTTGCAGAATCTTCAATCGCGAGACAGAGGAGCCTCCTATAAGACTGAGCAAGCACAGGCTTATCGCACACTTATTTGCAAATCGGAAAACATTTAATAAGGCCGGACGCTTGTCCATAAGTTTCCACAACACCCACGCGGATCCGGTTGGACTGAATTTCGATCTCAATTCCGCGGCGTCGCAGGATTTCAGTACCACTTGGGCGGCCGCCTTGCCTAAATTAGTGACGCGGAGAGGTGCCCTAGTTGGCGGCACTACAGGATCCGTGTCTAGTAATAGACGAAATTCCGTGGATTCTGAAATTAGTTTTCGGTACGTATCTATGGAATCTAGACGGAACTCTCTGGATTCACAGATATCCGTGCAGATCGCGCAGGTGAAGACAACACGAAAGGTTGCAAGTCGATCACGTGGTCGTCGCGGAAAAAGCAGAAGAGACTTTGGGAAATCACGATCAGCCAAAATCGATCCACTCTCTAGGAGAGGCAGCACCACTTCTCAAGACAGTCAACTGATGACTCAAGTTCCGATACAAATGCCCAATATGGGTAGGAGACTGGGAAATGCCGGATTAGACGAGCGAGCTTTGAAAATTATTGACACTAAAAACACCGGCATGTTATTACCCTTTTTGTTAAGAGGACAGAGCGGCAGCGATGAGAATTTAAGCAGCGAGGAGAAGGGACATCAAGATATGGTTGATAAGGACGTTGATGTAGAGACAGGCAATATGGAAAAGGAAGATGAACAAGATAGTGATAGCGAAGACAGTCAGTCGGAGGATGAAGTGAAGATGTTAAATGCAGAGAATTCGCACGAGCGTAGTAAAAATAAGGAACGTAGCAATAAGAATTGTAAAACTTATGACAATGATAGAAGAAGTCGGGAGAGCAGTCACAGAGGCAAGTATGTTCTACAAGATGGAACCATTCTGAAGCATTTACTTCAGGAAGCTAATGATAAAGAAAAAATGATTAAGATGAAGAATGAAAATGAGAAGAAGGAGGTGTACAGAAAAGCTGTGATGAGCGATTTGGATTCTAGTCTCACCTCATGTTATCCAGAGTTAACGAGATTACTGCAAGTTGACGGGCAAACTAATGCCAGAGAAATGGCGACGCAGACTTCGCTCCCGCTCGATATATTGGAAATGGAAGAGTTAAAACAGAGTATCGACGAGATAATTAACAGCAGACATTGTAGCTCTAAGGGGACTCAAATATCGCCGCAATTGAAAAAAAGTAAAATATCGCGATATAAGACTGAGGATTA